CCCCCCACAATGCAAAAAGTTGACTTTTCAGCATTTTACAAAGACAAAAAACAGTCAAAGATTTAGAAAACATTTTTTTTTATTATTATTATTTGGAGGGACAGGCTGTCAAAATGGCGTAGATGAAAGACACTGTTTCTGAACAGCAGGTTAATGTGTGAGTATGTAAAAAAAAAAAATTAAAGCAGCTTTGTTTGCTCTGCAGGACCATTCAAGCAGAAATATGTACAACACAAAAGGCAAAAAAAAAAAGTAAGACAATTTCTTTGAAAACAATATAAATTGTACTGTAATACATTACATTGAACACTCACTGTTGCCATTTCTTCATGAGATTTGATGTTTTATACAAGAGAATCTAATGCCTGCTTGCAAAAAAAAAAATGAGTGCCCTCTTCATGGCATAAGAACATATATTGGATGGACTTCAAAGTAATCAAAAAAGGCAAAAAAGCGAATAATACAGTTCCAAAATGTGCACTCAGCACTTTTTCAAAGTATACAATTAATCAGAACAAGTTTTAACAAACAGGACCTGCATGCATAATTTCTAAAGGGTCCAGAAAGGCTGTTGAAACAGCTGTAGAAAGGGTGAGATATGTACATCGACTCTCTAGTGTCCCTCGGCTCTTCACACAGGTGACAGCACAATCACCTTTGAAAGGTCTCGTTCAATAATTAATGAGGCAACTCTTCAATTTTCAGGGTTTGCGCGTGCGATAAAAATTGTATAATATATGCAGTTTTTATGCACAAAAACCCTTTACATGTGTAAGTCATAACATATCGTAAGCCAAGTCACAGACTTCCAAAGAAATTCAGAGTACAATCAAATTGATCTTCGCAATTTACTTAGTTTTAGTGGCATGTCTCTAAGATATCGAACCATAAGGCTGCCTATGAAAAATACTTCAGAATCCTGGAGAGCAATAACCTTCATAAGTATACATTTCTCTATAATTCATATATTACAAAGGTCGACCCAGATTGAAAATTACTCGTTTTTGCTTAATAAAATATTCAATTTGTCAGTGATTAGAATTCTTTTGTCATTCTACATAAATTAGTTAGAAAATATTAGTGTAATTTTCTATGTTTACATTATAGGCAGCAATACAACAGAACCATAATTTAGTTTCAGTGATTAGGGAGATTCCACAGTTTTCAGTCCCAAAGCTTAAATGGAAGCGCTGTGCACACTCTATTAGCATGCATGGCTCCCCCCGATAAGCAGGCACATCCAGTAAACTTTACAACACCCCATTTTATTGCCAGGCGTCTTAAATTAAATAACTAGTGAAATAATGACATAATAAGTTATCCAAAAAAAAAATAGTTAAACTGTAAAAGAGAATAGATATTAAATACTTGCTGATGGACTTGTGATCCCATTTCCCATAACAATGCCTAAATGTGATATGGACAAGGAAGAAAAAAAAAAACCAGGAAGGAAGATTGCACTTTCAGGTGAAATATCAAACCACAGTGCTGCTTGAGTGAAAGTAGGCTTCATCAGAAATAAATAAAAGGAATTCATAAAAGGAAATAATTTAAAACAAAAGTAAAAAGACAATACAGCTACAGCTTTTAAATGGCATGAGCATTATATCTAGTTACCCTGCTCATAAATATGAAACTCCGTCATGTTAGCGTTTAACTGTTGAATCGATCCCGTTCGACCAAAACAATGCCTATTCATACATAACTATTTTTTTTCACAGATAAAGTGCTGATCAAGGAGATTTTAGAGGGATTTTATTTGTACCATAAAAGACCCTTGGGAGAGATCTTGAGGAGAAAGAGTCCACTAGCTTTAGGATTTAACACAAGAAGGACCCCTTCTACTCAAGTCGTCCGGGTGTTAGCCCAAAATCTAGGGCGCGAACAGGTTAACATTTGACTCTGGTTTTCATATGAAGGCCATCACAGCAAAGGTACATTGCCTCCAAAAGCTAGAAAGCTAGAAAAAAAATCCCTGAGGTGCACATTCAGCTGTGTTGAGATTCCCAACCTGGCCCCAGAGGGTTCATTCCCATTTAGCGTATGGTTGGTGATCTTGGTTTGGTTAAACAAGCTTTCTTAGGAATTGAGAGCCACCACATCTTTTTTATTATTATTATTTGTTTTTTAATATGCCTGATCAAATTGATATACGTTTAGTATCTTTTTCAACACTAGCTGCCGTCTCACACAGCAATCATTCCAAACTGCTTTGTTGACAATTTTGAAGGCAAGTCTGGAATTTTGAACGTTTATTATTAGGCGAGAGGGAAAAAATAAAAAAAATCAAACGCAATCACAGCTTCCTCCAACACTTTGACATCTTATGTGCATTTTCAAACCTGCGTTTTTCTTGCACTGTCCACAAATTTTTCACTTTGCGTGGGTCAAACTTTCACAGACTCCATCACAGACAATTTCATGGCTTCCTCCAACAGCTGATTGTCTGTAAAAGTGGCGGGGGGTTCTGGGACGGACTCTGAAAGGCCAATCAGCGACTCCAGGAGGCAGGTCCCTGGGTCACTGGCTGCAGGGAAACTGGGATAACTAGGCAACTGAAACTGAAAAAAGTTGTCCATGTGCTCGTACTCCTTGAGGGAGTTGTAGAGGGAGGTGGGCCCCAAACAGGGGAAGCCATCGAAAAACTCCAGGTCTGACTCAGACGAGAGGCTCAGCTCCATGTCGTAGCTAGCTGAGCGATCGACTGTGGGAGAGGGCGTGTGTGGAACACTACTGCTATGGAAGAGGGCGTTTCCCTGGTTGGCATTCTCATCCAAAAGTTCTGAAATGGCTGTTGCTCGATTGTCTGTTTGATCGTCCGAAGAGTCCAACAGTGCAGCGTCTATATTGTCATTCTCATCTGCAAAGTCCACCATACTAAAGCTACTAAACGCCTCCGTAGATGGCTGCTGTTGCTCTTGCTGCTGCTCTGGACAACAAGTGTCTTTGCCGCTCTTATCGCCGCTGTCCTTGCTACTTCTCGAACAGTTTTCTGTGTCGCTGAAACACAGTATGCGGCTCAGGCCTTTCTCATCAACATCCAGCTGGGCGCTGGGCTCACACGGACCTTCGCCTGCCTCCGAGTCCTCACTCTGAGAGTCCGACAAGTCTGTCATATCGCTGCTGCAGCTGTTCTCCCCAGCTGCTGTCATCTCTGAGCTGAAGGGGAAGGAGGGCACTGCTGGTAAGGGGGTGGCACCGGTTGTGTTCTCCTCATCCTCTTCTGTGCTGGACTGCTCCTCCAGCCTCTTCTCCAGCTCCAGCTTCATTATAGTGTGGATGTAATGCGTCTGTACCCTGGTGGAGTTGAACTCAATGCGGCCCTCCATGTTTCCGCATCCATCCTTGGTACATCCGCATGGAAAAGAGGAGTGGTCCATCTGCAAGAAGTAAAGAAAAGTTCTTAAATCATGAAACAGAAACTCCCAAGTTGCTGTGTCTTGCCCGGGTGCTCTTGCTAGCATGAAATTGTCGGGACTCTTACCTGACATTTGATGCCAGCCAGGCTGCAGCTGCAAGTCTCAGGTTCACAGAACCCCTGACAGTCGCAACCACAGTTCTCCCTGGAGAGCCTCAGCTCGTGCAGCTGCCTCTTTTCCTCCTTGTCGATCTTCTTCACACCAGCCGCTTTGAGTAGCGCATAGCGGCGCTTGGACGTGTAAGGCTGGAGAAAAGAGCCCTCGTCGAGGTTGGCTCCACTGATGTCAATATCCTGCTCTGGGATGTCATCCACTGTAAGTTTTTCGGCCTCCTCGCTCTCCTGGGTTCCATTTTTTGTCAGCTGAACACAACAAAAGGAACAAAGTTTATTTGTCATGTTGAACAGGCACAGTTTCATAGATCCCTTAACCACTGCATTTCTTTTATGGTGCACACCTTCAGTTTGAGAGCTTCCAGTTTCTCTTCCCTGAGTCTGTTGAGGAGTTTTTCCCGACGCAGGAGCCGCTGCTCCACGGCAAACTCTGCGAGCGAATATGTGCGGAGTGCACTGTGGCGTTGCATCATGCCCAGAGTGCATCCTCCTCGGCTGGGAACGCTGGTGAAGCCCTGGCACCGAGGGAAGAAGAACACCGTCACCTGGTCAAACGTCACATTGCCCCGCCGCGCTCGTTTGGATTTCTTAAGGATGGACGTTGCTATGGATGGAAAAAAAAGAGGTAGGATTAGAATACATAATGCACAAGAGAGGAGACTCTAAAGAGGGGGGATTCTTACTTTCGTGCCACTAGATGGCATAATTCCCCAGCACTTGTACTTGAGAGGTGTATAAACGCTGCTGAACAGACTGTAAAAGGACACCCCTCTGATTCATTGCTCCCGCCTTATCATGTACCCAATTAAAAGACACTGCTAACAGGACTCTAACACGCTTACATCCTGTAAAGTGAAACCTACACTAACCCAAGAATCCATTTAGCTTTGTAACTTGCCCTACTGTGCGACAAAAAAACAAACAAAAAAAAACAAAACACCCAACCCAGGAATTTCCCTTTGTTGGCCAGGAAAGTGGAGGAAACAGAGCCGCCAGGATCACAAAAGTGGTGAGTAAATGCTTGAGGGTTCCAGATGGGGGTGAAGGGTGGAAGTGTAGCCCTAAGGGCAAGAATAAAACCTGCCCACCCGGGTCTCGCTGCTAGCTGGCAATCCCCACAAATGGCCCAGTAACTGAAACGGGTCAAAGGTTCTCTCGCTGTTAAAAAGTGCTCACGATCTTTCTATACCCAGACAAATACAATAAAACCATATGGGAGCCAAAGTAGAACCATATGTGGGAAAAAAGCCCAATTATTCAAGTTTTATTATATATTCCACTTCCTCCACCCAGGAATATTCAACAAAACTTTAGAGACTCTTTTAGAGACAAGCAACTTTTTCCCTCTGCCTGAGTCACCAGAACTTTTCGAATCTACAATCCACATGCGTCGGACGTTACAATTATTATTTGGTGGGGAAATCCTTGTAGACTTCTAGTTCACCCTGAACTGGCCTTAAAAGACACAGAAAGCTGGTGTGATACCTGAAGCTTGGAAAAGTAACCTTTTACCTTAATAGAGGTAAGCGGCACACAATAGTTCTACTATGTGGTCTGATCTGCTGCTTGGGGTAATACACATAAAAATAAACTACCAGGGTACAGCTTCACATCCATCATCTTCTCTGCTGTGTCTAGCAGTCACTTCACAATTTCTGTGTAAACACTGGATTATAATGATCCAGCCAATCTGCTCCTTCAGATGTGTCTGCACGCCTTTTTTTCTTGATTGTCCCCCCCCCCCTTTTTTTTTTTTTGTATCCCTTCACCCACTCACTTTCAGCACCTGTGCTGGGTGCACGCCCGGGCTTCAGACAAGGCTCTGTGTGTTCCCAGCCTTGGCAACCTGCCCTGCTTCTCTTCCTGGCTGCCTGCCCCACCATCCTGGAAACCTCACAACTGTTTGCCCTTCTCCCGTACACCGCAATCCCTTTCCAAGCCGGTCGGTCCCCTAAAGCTCAGCAGACGCACCCAGGTCGAGACACAAAACAGCCCAAGGCCACGCGACCCACATCATGCAAGAAAAGGTGAGGCTGTGCCTGCATGCGGGGCTTTGGGAAGAAGGTGGCGACACAGCCAAGGTGAGCAGCCAGTGCATAATGTGATTAGCCATTTTGCAGCTTTAGGGCATGAAATCAAAAGAGGTATTCATTGCAGAAGTCTGAAATCATTTCTGTGAAGTGTTTCATGGCCTGCCAGCTGCCTAAATTCCTTAACCTCTCCCCCATTTTTCTAAGTTTGTTATCAAAGCCTCAGCGGATGTTAAAGGCAAGAGAATGCATTATAAAAACATGTGCCATCAGCTCTTTCTGCGATTTATTATCGCTGGAGAGAGATACTCACTGTTGAAATTTGTTGCCGGGGAGCTGGGGTTGCTGGGGGTGGAATCCAGGGTGTCTGAGAAGCAGCTCTCCGCCTCCGAGTCCCAGCCTGAGCAGGCAGAGGAAAGGGAAGAGGGTGACGGTGAGGAGTAGCATGGGTCCTCATCCACCTCCTCAAACTTCCTCTTGAGAAGCCCACTCATGGCGTTAGCGCAAAAGATCTGCAGCAAGGAGGAGAGAGGGAGACGAATTAGCAAATTACTAACAGTTATTTTAACAAAGCAGCACCTGATCTTTATTTTATTAACCCAATAAATTATCAACTGTACATTGTCAGGCTTTTATTTAAACAAAATCAATGGTACAAGTGAGTCATGTATGCATACCAGTCTCATGCTACTCTCAGCTGAGAACAATGGCACAGGAAGCAATCAATCAGTTCTATTTGCCTAAGTCAACAATTAGCGAACCCTTCACCCTCTTCTAAATCTCATCTGCTCAGCAAACGCATAAATTAAGAGAGACGACCAAACAGAGGTGACCTGACATTTTATTTTCTAATCAGTCACTTTAAGCAGCCCTTGCAATCAAATATGCAGTCCGAAGGAAAGCAAGGGCAATTTGCCACTGGTCATAAGTAACGTGTCCACATAGAAGTCATTCAATACATGCGCAGCTACGCATAGGCAGAATGTTTTGTTGTCCACATATCCAGAGCTGAGTAAAAGAGAGAAAAGTAAAAAAAAATAATGCTTTCAGTGGGAGGGAGTGCTGTCCGCCCTCTAATCTTTAAAAATATTGCCTAATATCACCTTTCCAAGTATAAGATTTGTCGATGTGTTTAATGTTTATTTTTGTCAGGCAGCAACACTTTCAAAGCTCGACTAAATCCCCGTCTTTTTCCAGGCAAAATTTCAAAAAGAGCAACCGCTGACATGACAAATGAGCAGATTTGATGAAAAGCAAGGTTACTGCTTTTGTGTTTTATGGTTAAGGGATATAAATGTGTCTCGTGACCTTAACAAACACCAAACAATCGAATCTTCTCAACTTTTGAGAAGTGCCGGGCGATGCTTGCTGCTAGACGGCGCAGTTCATCATCAGTGCGAGGACGAGCCCCTGCTATCTTAACCAGGGAGGGACAGGGTGGAGGGAGGGAGGAAGGAAGTGAAGGGAGAGGTACGACACAACCGGGCCGTGCTCCAGCACAGACACTCCCTCAGATGATGATGTGGAATAGGAAAAGGAGGCTTTACCTCGATTCACTGTCAAACTGTTTACAAATCTTTCAACATTGCAGCTGAATCACTTTGATTTTTGTCATTTTTTAAGCCTTTTTTAAAATATACTCTTACTAAACACAGTACTGCACACACGCAAAACACCAAACCATCTTTCCAACAGCTTAAAATGTGACCATTGCTCTTTAGCACACAGCCAATTTGTCAGAAATGCTCCAGTGACTTTATAGGAACTTTGAATCCATGTGCGATCTGCATGTCTTGCTTGTCTCATCGGGATGTCATTACTCAAAGAACAGAAGAAAAAGAAGATCTGGAAGCTGGTGTACAACGAAAAGAGCCATTTTCTGCATGCAACAGAGAGCAGTTATGAAAAAAAAATCCTTATGACAAGGACAAAGGAAAAGTCAAGGGCAAGAGGCTGACACCTTCGTATAGGCAGTGGGTGCATCTTTGCAGATGTACAGGGAGGGGGTTACTGTTATTGCTGCGGTCAGATATTGTTGTCCCCAGTGCACGCATGATGAATGAATCACCTTGCAATAGGTCAAGCCAACTCACACTGTCGCTGCAACAAACAAAAAAGCTCCCTTCCACACTGTAGCCTTCACATTACACAGACAATAAGAGTGGAGGAAAAAAAAGGGGGGGGGCACTGAATCCCCCCCCATCCTATCCTTCAGCTTACGCGTGCAAAAAAATAATCTCAAAATGCCTTGTACACGTATAACTAATATTATGACATGATGATGGGATTTGTCTTGAAACCATTTAGAAACACCTGGGTGCCGCATCTGTTGCTTTGTGTGTTCACTTATCAGACAACATGTGTGTTCTGAAAAACACCACAACCCTCACGTCTCTGTGCACGCAGAGCACGCAAGGGTTCACCTTACAGTTCTGCCACCATTCCCAGCTCCAGTTCCCAGAAAAAAAAAACCCCACAAAAAAAACAAAGCTGTGAAGCATCCTCCAGGGAGTGCATAGCGCCAGCTAAGCAAAGTCTTTTTAATTAAAAGCTGCAGTGAGGCAGAAGGGGGG